GAAGCGGTAACGGTAGCCGTCCGGCGGATCCGGCGGAGCCGGCGGAGCCGGCGGAACGATCCGGACGAGACCGAAACCATGTGTACCGCCAGCGCTAACGCTGGTGGTACAATTATTACCTTAATATCCAGTTGGTGCCTGAGTTTCATGCTAGCCATTTCTTGTTCCATTGTCTCCAGTTTGGCCACTGCCTCTGCATGCTTCACTGCAGCCTGTAAAAAATACAGCAAATCTTTAGAAAATAACACATTTCAAGAATTAAATGCTCAAGAAATCAACTAAAATGTTCTAGACAAGCTTATTTCATCAACAAGGATAGAAAACATCATTTCAAGTTTATAATGTTACTTGGTGAAAAAGATCACTCCCAGAAAAAAAAAAAAAAAAAAAAAAAAAAACATAGAGCATACTTTTTCCAATGCTGTCTCTAATCTGTCACATTTTGATTTAAGATCTTCATTTTTCTTGGCATATCCCTCCAGCTGGTCTGCTAGCTTCTCATTCTGTGTGGAGGAGTTGTTCAGGGAAGATGAAAGTTTCTTTCTCTCCTGCTTGAGGGCTTGTTTATCCTGTGAATCGAGTTTAAATTTCAACATTAAATTCAAGTTTGAAACTTACACGAAAATAATGCAATAATAATTTAGATCTTAACCAAGAATTCTGAGCATTGCCTCATGTCATGTATGAATGCAAACTGGGAGATTACTGAGAGAGATAACAGGAAATTCTTTTCAAATTCTTTTTAAAATATCAAGAGGCGTCACTCAGGCTAAAACTGAATCACTTCCAATCTATATCTCCTGAGCAAACCTTAACTTGTCATCAATCCTTTTAAGTTTTGTAAATTAATCTAACTTTGTAATTTTTTTTTTTTTTTTTTTTTTTTTTTTTGCTAAAGGGGCCCTCACGAACCTTCAAGGCAGCATCTAAACATTCCTCCAACCAGTGCACTTTACTCCTCAGGGAGTCTATCTCTCCTCTCTTGGCTGTCACTTCCTTTTGCATCTTGTCTGCATACTTCACAGCTGAAACACATGACATATTTATAATTTAAAATAGAACTGTGCATTAGATTAAATTAGATTAGAATGTGGAGAAATTGTAATTATATAAAAAAAGTAGGCAAAGAGATTCTTTGAACAAAGTGTTTTGTCTTTGGAAAATGGTATTTGTTTAGTATTTAGTCACTCTAGGGATGTAGAAACAGGGTAAAATGAGAAATTTAAAAGTCCTACAAGTTTAAAGATAATTTTGGATTAGGATATGCTTTGGTTAATAAGGAAGAATTGTTAAAATTTCCAGGAAAAATCTTTTTTACCTAGATACACATTGTTATTACATAATGCGGAAAAGTAGCTACTACACATTAAAGCTACCGGCATTTCACTAATATTGATATTAATTTTGGTTTCATCAAGATTACATCACGAAAGACCCTAGAACACAGGAGAAATTCCTAGATGGGAGTACTTAACATTAATGACTAAGTAATTATAAAGGTTAACTGATATGATTAGAAAAGTTAAAATGAACTCAATTTTTACCTTTACCATCCACGGCCTCTTTTGTCTTTATAGCTTTCTGTGCTATCCTGTACTCTTGCTGCAAAGCTATAGAAAATATCAAACTATATGTACAAATCATAAAATTAAATGTCTCAAAGGGCATATTCAATGTGATAGTTTTTAACTGGACATGGACATTTTCCTAATAAGGCATATAATCCTCAAATAAAAGAATTTTTATTTCTTTATTTTTTTCATTAAAAAAAAAAAAAAAAAAAAAAAAAAACAGGAAAAATGCGCAGACACCTGCTCATGTGCACGCAAACACACTTGTGGACACATTGATATCCCTCATATAATTATCCATGACTGAGAATAAAGCAAACTACTCTAACACTTACCAACATATTTTTGAGTTAATCTGTCTAGCTCCCCCTCCAACTGTTTCTTCTGTTCTTCCTTCTGTTTTTGGATCTCATCTCTTTCTTCGGATAATGTTGCTACCTCATATCTGCTACCTTTAAGCTCCTGATACAAACCATCTTTCTCTTTGATAATAGCATCTATATCTTGTCTTTTTATCTGCAGCTCTTCTATGAGCTTGTTTTTATCAAGTTCAATATCTTTAAGTCTTTTCTCACGTATTTTAAGTTTTCTTGTGATGTTGCTTTTGGCAAGTTTAAGTTCTTCCAGTTCAATTGTTCTTTCCTCTATTGATTTCAAAAGCCTTTCTCTCTCCAACTTGAGTTCATCATTGGATTTAGAGTTCAACTCAATGGCATGGGACATGTCAGTGCTCTGCCTCTGTAATGCAGTAAAATTTCTCTCCTTTTCATCAAGCCTAGTAGATAACTGTTCATTTTCAGCCTGCAATGTCTTTAGTTCCTGATTTCTCTCTTCAAGAAGTCCAAAATAATAATCTCTTTCCTGGGTTAATCTCTGACAATCATTTATTCTGTCTTCCATTAATGCACCTAGGTTAGTCTTTTCAGCTTCCATGGTCTCGATTTTGACTCGTGCATCCTGGTTTTTTTCAGTCAGTTCTGTGACCTGTTTTTTGAGATTTCCATTCTCTGTCTGAAGTGTCTCAATCTCGTAGGTCATTCTAGTACTCTTCTCTGTCAGTGTTTGAAGCTGTATGGTTAGTGTTGTTATCTGTTCTGCAGTTTTTAATTTTTCATCTTTCTCTATTGAAGCAACCTGAAGAGAAATGTTATTATACAGTAACATTTTCAATTTAACACAAGCAACAAAGACAGGCAATTCTGTTGAAAATTGTTAAAAAAGAGTAAAGTACTTTATTTTTAAAAGAATAATGTAAGTGATAGCAATTTAAGCAAGAGTTTTCACATGCAAACTTTTCTAAAACAATAATACTTCTTTTTAAGCCAGAAACTTTAATTTTTCAGCATCAAGAACTTGATTATATACACACAGGAGCAAAAACCAAGTCAGAACGTGTAATTTATTAGCATGAGTATTTTTCCCTTTTTGTTCAATAGCCTGTCTCTCTCTTTTTATGCACAACTATATTTAAAAAATGAAAAAAAAAAAAGGAAATAAAAACCTACCCTGTCCTTGAGAGTAAGCTCACACTCTGCTTTCACAGAGTCCATCAGCATCTCCAGTCTCTCAATTTCCTTGTCCTTCTCATGAAGTCTGCTTTCCATCTCGATCTGTTTCTTGTTGGCCTCGTCCTCTCTCTGCCACAGTTTCTTCATCTGCTCTCTATCCGTGTCCAGTTCATCTGATAACTTCTCCACCTGGAGCTGGAGGCAAGTACAGTTTGATATAGTTATGACAAGCTTAAAGATGATTTTATCTAGAGTATCTAATCTCTTGATGATGAGTCTCCAATTTAAAAATATCTTGGTCTGAAGGGTAACTTCTCCAGTGCATGAAATAAGCCAAATATATTTAAAACCATAACTTTTCTTACAGCATACTTTCAATATATAATAGTCAAATGTAATCAAAACAGTTGCAGGGCCCCACCAGGTAAACTAAAGCCAACTACCAATATTGTATCAAGTATGTACCAGTACACTCTGATTCATTTTAAAAACCAACTCAATACATTTTATCCAGTATGTGTTCCTGAGTCACCATCAAATCCCATTTCAAAAGTTTCACCAGGTACACCCTGAATCAAAACCCAGTTTACACTTTTCATCACGTATATGCTCCCCCACAGTTACAATCAAACTACTCCAACTACCACACCACTCAGAGTTAACCTCTGTGTAAACATGCCTGGTAGTCCTCAATCCTGGTCTCCATGGCAGCAGCAGTCTGCACAGCCTCCTGTTTCTCACTCCTCATCACATTCAGTTCCTTCTGTACCTGGTCCACAGCCAGCTCCAGGGCCTCTCTCTGGAGAATATGATACAGAAAACATCTTACTCAGAGAAGTACCACATATGTTAACCCAGTCTGCAACATCAACATTGGTCCTATGCCAAATACATGGTTGAGAAAGCCATATAGTGAAGAAGTCTGAAAATATGGGGCAGGGTCCACGGGGCACCTGCATTAATCACAAAAATGAATTATTGGCTCCCAAATAGTCAGAAATCCACAGGTGGTGGGAAAAAACTTGTAAGTGCAAATGCCAGTAAAATACCAGTAAAGTGTGGTTCAGGTCAGCAGAATTTTTTTGTAATACTTTCTAAATATAAAAATATTTTTGATGCTAACACAGACAATTTGCCAGTGCAGAATGGTTATTTTTCACCTTTTCTGTCCATCCTTTCTTTGCCACATCCTGGTCTTCTTTTAGACTGGTGATCTTATTTTCCAGCTCTCTGATGTGGTCATCCTTCATCTGAGCTTGTTTGTCCAGCTGCTCTCTGGAATACGGGAACAATTTGCTTGCAGTCACAATAATTTTGTACAATTACTTTACTAATAAAATGTTTAAATGCTTTTCAATGAAAAATTAACATTGGAAACAAAACATCAAAATCAGATAGAAGTGCAATTAAATATTTCTGAAACTTAATCTTTTTATGTAAATGATTTATAGCTTTTTATGTAAATTATTTATGCTAAATAAAATGAAAACCAAAAAGTATTTTTACAGTCTAAATAAAACTGTGCCAAAAAAAAGCCATGATACTGTCATCTATACGTGTCAATCCCAACTTTTAAAAGCTGCAAATTTACATTGACTGTATATAACAAGGCTTAACAACCTGTTCAGATATAAGTGTCCATGTTTAACCTTTGAACACAGGTGTGTGTGTGTGTGTGTGTGTGTGTGTGTGTGTGTGTGTGTGTGTGAGTGCAGATGTGTACTCACTGCATCAAAGTAATCTGTGACTGAAGATTGGCTGCCTGCTCTCTAGCATTGGCTGCCCTGTCTGCAGCAGCTTGCAACTGCCATTCATGTTCTTCTGTCAGCTGACTTAACCTGAATAATAATAANAGAGTGTGTGTGTGTGTGTGTGTGTGTGTGTGTGTACGCAGATGTGTACTCACTGCATCAAAGTAATCTGTGACTGAAGATTGGCTGCCTGCTCTCTAGCATTGGCTGCCCTGTCTGCAGCAGCTTGCAACTGCCGTTCATGTTCTTCTGTCAGCTGACTTAACCTGAATAATAATAAATATTGTGGTCAAACCAAGAACTGCCCTTTTCTCCTGAGCTCATTCCTAAAAAGATTTCTACATAATTAAATCAAAACAAATTTCAATCCTCTTATCAGACTGACATGTTGTCTGTTTGCCATTTTGAATATTTGATAATCATCTCATTTACAAAAATCTGAATGAGGCATATTTAAAACAGCCTGAATTTAAGAGCAATGCACATAAGTTTTTTTTTTCCAAATTTCCATTCATTACGACTGCTAGTCTGAGTTCGATAAGTACACAATTACAGAAAACGAAGGAGCTAAATATAACTTAGAGAACAGTCATATAATTTTCTCTAACCTTTGCTGGTGCTCTACAATCAATTTATCTTGTGTTCTTCTGGAAGATTTTTGTAACTCTTCTAGGTCATTTTCAAGCTGAAACAAAAATTAAAAAACATTTTTAAAAAGCTGAAATATTTTCATATTGTGCGTAGGCCTTCGATCTATCCAACTTTGCAAGGACTTTCACTGAATGCAATAATATTGAATGAACAGTTTAACACGCTGTTTATACTGGTTTAAATACAAATCAACACACCTGTTTCATTTTCCCAGCCTTGGTCTCCAGGTCACTCTCCATCTCCTGCACACACCGCTCCAGTGTGTGTACCACCATTGTGCTGCTCTGCTTGTCGATGGGCTCAGAATCGTAAAAAGACTTGCCGCGCTTCTTCTCCACCGATGCTATCACCGCCCTGATCTGGTTCAGGGAGGTGTCAGCCACATAAAGATTCTGGCTGAGTTTGTCTGTCTTGGAGCCTGTTTCCTGAAGAGTCTAGAAGAAAAGAACCACAGTTTGAATTATGATGAAACATGTACTTTTTCAGCAATAAAATAAATGTGCATTGCACTGGATTTTGCATTTTTTCAAATTAAGTCCCCTGGATAAGGGTTACATTTTGCAGCCAAATAATCTGACTTAACAGAAAGACACTGCCTTAATTTATCCCATTTGGAAAATAACACAGTCTTGGAAGCCCATGACATCTTTCCAAGACTTGTACCTTGCTTAACTTCTTAATTCAGCATAAATGTACATTCTGACCTTTTCTTGCACACTGTAAGCTTCCTGCAACTGACGTAATGTTGCCTGAAGTTTTCTGATCAGATTCTCTTGACTTTCAGCTTCCCTTTGTCTTAAAAGAAAGGAAAAAGAAAAACATCACAATATTAGTTAGAAAGTGGATAAGGTCAATTTTACATTTATATTTCTATTTGTTGGCACTAACTTTTCAAACATCCATTTAAACAAATGTGAAAACAGCATATTACTTCTGGGCTAACAGTTGTATTTTTGTATATCTACATGGTAATCTATGGTAAAAGAAAGTTATAACTCAAACCACAGCACACAGCTTATAAACTAGGTTGTGGATCATGAATCTTACCTTAGGTCCATTATAGAGTCTCTGTTCACCACTGTCTCTTGTAGTTTTGACTTAAGTTCCTCTATATGTGCTCGGAACTGTTTTCGCTGCTCCTCGCTCACTTCTTTGGCCTGAATTAAAATACAACTTACA